CAATAAATTGCTTTCTATTATCATTTCTAACTCAATATATATATATATATATATACTCAAAGCTACATGCTTATTAATTATATATATATATATACTCAAAGCTACATGCTTATTAATTATATATTTAATTATATTGAAATGCTCCAATAGATAGTCAATTTTTTTGCATGGAAAAAATAATTGATCCGATATTATTGCTTCAGTTTATTTCAACCATATTATGATTTGAAGATTCTAAGAAATAATCGCAAATGAATTTTTATGGTTTTCGATGAAACTATAGAGGCAAAGATGATGTTTTTTTCTCTACTCCAACAAATTCGAATGCAAATGGTTTCATTGTCCTTTCAATTCAGTTTTTTACTATATCTAATTTACAAGAATTTTCAAAATTAAACTGCATTGTAAAGACGGAAATGATGAATAAGGTTAGTGTTCGAATGATCTAAACACTTAGATAATAGAACTTAAAGCACGAATACTTTTCTAATTTATACTATTATTTTGAAGGAACGTTATAAAACATTCATGAATACGTCCTTGTGTACCTACAAATGGCATTTGTAAATGTCATTTTATAAGAGTTCGGATAGAATGTATGTATTAAAAATTATGTACCTTTGCCCTTAGACATCCACTCCTTCCAAAGTTTATTAAGTAACGTCAACATACTTTCATATGTGTATTTCAGTGGATAACCTTGCCAATTCTCACGGTAAAAGTACTGTTACATTATTTGACCACCTTTTGTAGGTCTGTCATTTGATCGTATTTATTGCAGCTTTAATTACTAGTCGATTGATGATGTGTTTGTTGCCGATAACAATGATGGTCGTGAATGTTTCTAAAAATGCTTGATGTCCTTATCAACAGCAATTTATCGATAGCTTTTTCTTATAATGAGTCTAGATGGCAATGGCAGTCACCTTACGGAATTTTATTGCAGGTTTTCATATCCTCTTTAAAAGTCTTCCGAAGTTATAAATTTGTGATTTCATACAGTTACATTTTCCATCCATATAAAGTAGGGAAGAAATGCTAGCTATTTTTTCCAATAAGGCATTAGAGTGGGCGGATGGTGAAGAAAGGTAACTCCAAACTGGGAAGTGCTGAGCAGCAGGAGTCATTCATTAGAAAAGTTTTTGTTAACAGTAGCACACTATGAAATGTGGTGTATGAAAAAATTCATCATATCGCCATGAACCATTTCATTGAATTCACTTCCTGATGCGCTCTCAGCTGTTTAAATCATCTGGTGGAAGGAACAAAGTAGGCCTTATTTACTTTCTTCATGCTTCTTTGGTATACTTTGGCGCGCTCTATGTTGATTTCTATAATAATAGGACATTAAAATCCAACATTCTATTATCATTTTTATGCCTCTACAAAGCTGTTGGATGAAATGTGGACTAACTTCATAGATTAAAGAATAACTACGTGGACAGGTGAAAGAGAAATTGGATGAATGAACGTAAATGGACGGACGAATAAGAAATGGATTATGCTGTATGTTGTGATACGTATAATTTCCTCATGTTATCCTGGTATTTTGCGTCTCGATCGTTTTTGTTTGGCTCAGTTTATATAATTAGTAGATATTTTTTTCAGTTCATTTCAGCCCTTTTACTGATTTCGTCTTAAATTACAGTATTCATGAAATAGGATGCATATTAATTCACCTTAATTCATTTGCTTTCGCTTAGACAGTAGTGACTCCATTTTAGTAGTGAGCCTATTTGTATCTCAAATAGGCAAAATTATCGTCCTCATATACCTCTCCCTTCCTCATGCACTACTATTGTCATAAATGCCCGTTAATACTTGTTTACAATGAAGTCATTGACTCAGACATTATTTGGTGGATTAAAATAAATGATTTGGTGGAAGATCCTTTTGTGATCTCTGTGTGGGATGATATGTGGTATGAAACCGCCGCAGTATCAGGTTATTACAATTATGAATTTTCAAGTCAATATTTTTAATTTTATATTAAAACACATTCCCGTATTATCTTGTTGCAAACTTTATGGTTTGATAGAGCATTACCAGAAAAAATATCGCTTAAAGTTTTTTTTTCAATAAGAGGTGTTGCAGCTGATTGCTTGAAAACATATGATTTTAAAGAAGAAACGGATTGCTAAAATGCAGAGAGAACATATTTATTGCATAACCGTTACCCATTTGCTTCCAAAAAGCGGGTTGTGAGAAAAGGAAAGTTAAAATAAAGATAAAATAAAGATAATGCTATATGTCGGAAGCATACTACACAGAAATATTGTTTTAAAAATAAGGTTTGGCTGGCTGTTGCATGCTTGTTCGTTAAGTTGCTTAATTTAATCGCAAATGCAATGTTGTCGATTTTTTCACCATCCAAGAAGACAACCTGAGAAATAAAGCTTTTAAGGGAGGAAATGATCTTATATTAAAAGGTAATATACTATTTAAAACCAAGAAAAGACATTCAAACAACCGAAAATCTGTTGACATTTTATCATGTTTACCTCAAAAAGTAAGTACATGAAGAGCATTCGAAAGTATCCTTATTAATCATTTAGTGATTATGCAGATGTGTACAGTTTGAAATAGATAAGAAGTCTGCGGCAAACTGACATCTTGGTGATAGTTAGCATCTTACATAAAAACTTGATGCGTTGCATTAAAATGACTTGACAATTTTGAGAAGATTGTTATTAAAATGTAGCATTCCTTAACCAATATAGGCAATTTTGTAATAATCGCCAAGTACTCCAGATTGGCACTAGCAAATTTTTTTGTTAAGCATGATTTCTCAGTCTATATTTCTACAACCATCCTCGCTTCTTCATCCAGTACTCCATCACATCATCAAGGTTAGAGCGGTACCAGGTTGGTGTTATCGGCAAGCGGTATAGTTAATAATTAATGTGTGTATAATAGCTGACGTGAATTCACAAGATTTGAGACTAAAAGCGTTGAAGATTATTGAAGCTTATAATGAACTTCCATCTAAACAAATTGTTCTAAAAGACATATGCAAGGTCAACTTTTGGGTTATCACCCGAAAATTTTAGATCAATGTATGGATTATTGTGGTTACATTGAGCATGGAAACAATTTTGGGCAATGCAATGGTTATCGCTGCTTATAAACTTGAACGAAATATCAGTAAACAGGTCGATTTTATCCTCATTTCACAAGCAATCAGCTTTCGGGGACCATATCGCTCTCCGAGAATGGCATTGACAAGATTTTTTAAGGGCAACATCTTGGTGATTTGAAAAATATTCCTGAGGTAGTTATAGGTAGCAACACATTTGTTGAACATCCTTGCATTATATAGGGACACAAAAAATTTCACCTGTGGATTGAGATATATTTTAAATTAGACAGCTTCAAACGTAAAATGCGATTTAACATCTCACATTGATCATTGAACATTAAAAACCACTTGGCACTACTGATCATTTGTTAGTTGTGATACATAGAAATCATGGGTTTTCTTTTTAGATTTTATTTTCTTTTTTTTTCTACTCTTCAAATCATTATTAACAAACTTTCCACTTTATCCGGAAGAGACAAGAATCTGAAAATCGGTGGGCAGGTTACCTTCGTCTTTATCCTTCCGGTTTCTTTATTTCTCCTTTAGTTAAAATTATATCCATTAACTTTAACAGTTTTGCCTTATGGATAGTTTATTACTTCTTTAATTTAACATTTAAAAAATGACGACACAATCTTTTCTTTTTATCCACTCATTAATGATTTTACAAAGAAGCTGTTTTTTTCCACAGCTTAATTGTTTTTTTGTTCTTAATTATGTGTTTTACTTCCCTCACGACATTTGAGGGATTGCACTATACTTAAGATGTGATCCTAACGATAACAAATAATTAAATTTTCACTTATAAATTATTGGGAAAGGATGGATGGAAATTTCGATGTCTTATGGCTAAATGATAAATACATATTATAGTGACTTTTTTCACAATCTTTTGCCACATTCTTATTGAAAACAAACTGACTCTTTAAGTTTTATAGCCCTGTTTGAGAGTCCCCCAAGAAAATATTCTAATAGCCACTGGAGAAATTTAGTAGGTATCATTATTCTGTTGTTTCTTCACCCTTCTAACGACTAACTAAGACCGTGTTTGAAACAGGGAACGTTTTCAGATAAGCAACCGTTTCATAGTATCATTGGCTGTATCAGATTTAATTATTGGTATTGAAGGTTACCCATTATTTACTCTATATGTTTTGAATGGTAGGTTTATTTTGCGACAAAAATTTACACTAATTCTTAATTCCTGAATCACTAGTTGTAATATCTCAAAAATGTATAACTCTGTTAAAAGTATTTATCAAATACAATAAGTATCCAAACATTCACTGTAGTGTTTTCCTTGCTGACAGTGCAGATAAGTGACTGCAATTATCTTGATAGCAAACACAGTGACTGCAAATACACATAACACCTTTTCAAGTATTTATTTTAATCAGGTTAGGCGTAGATGAAGGATCTAGAAATTAATTCATGTCATTTTAAAACTTGCAAATTAATTAGGAAAGGGTGGGATACTACATGCATGTTCATTTCAAATTCTATACAGGCGACCACTGGCCACTCGGATGGATAGCATGTGAAACATGGCTTTTCCTTGACTATACACTTTGCCTTGTATCAATACTGACGGTGCTGTTGATAACAGCTGACCGTTATTTATCCGTTTGTCATACTGCATCATACATCAAGTGGCAGTCACCCGCAAAAGCCCAAATGACAATTATCTGTTCTTGGCTTATTCCGGCTCTTATATTTGGCTTTATGATTTATGGCTGGTCACTGGTGTCCAATACCACGAGCGGGTTAATTTCTTTAATTTTTTTTTCTTTATTTTTTCGTTTTTCCTTTATTTTTTTTTTTTTTGTTCAATCATCAGAGATTTGTCGTTTTGGTTGCTTTTTTTTTCTATTTCACAATAGTGCATTTGTTGGCATTATTTTGGGATTCGTTCAATCAATTTCCGTACAGTATATGTCATTAAAGACTTATCAATGGTGAATGTGTCGCTCCGTTTCTCACCAATCCATATGTTAATATGAGTTTGTACGTGGTTTATTATTGGACGACACTGATTGCAATGCTCATTCTTTACAAAGTAATTCATACCGTTTCCCAATTATCTACGATACATACATCGCCATTTTAACGCCCTGTCAATTTGCTGAAATGATTTAAGTATTGTACCAGCAGTAATTCAGTAGTTTCCTTCTTGAATTCATTTTTTTCTTTCTAAACCTCTTCTATACCTTGTCCTCGAATATGAGGCATTTTTTTATCATTTATAAACGATTAAAAGTCGTTCTTTAGAATCATTTTTTTTAAGCATTTTGCTACCTTTTAAGGGAATACACAAAGTTACCAAGAAACTTGAAAAGAAAGCTGGTGCCAAGGACCAACGTCAGTTGGCTCTGTTATTCAGTCAGCAACTAGGGACTCAGGTAATCTTTATATCATTTTGTGTTGAATGTGTTAATTCATCTTTCCAAAAAAACTACTGGTTAGACATGACTGTGAAGTGACAAAATGATAGTTTAGGTTGGTCTTAAACTGATGCTTTCGCAAACACACAATGCAGACAGTGATACTATTGAGGAAAATGTTCATATTGCGGATGCAAAAGATGCTGATTATCGAACGTTTACGACAAATGTTACAGTAAGTTACTTCACAGCATTTTTGCAGGATATTGGTCCAGATAAAATGAATTATCTTATTCATTGAAGGTGGTTAACCAACTTAGAATTTTCAAAGAAATTAAGAAATAATCGTAACTTGCAATATTATGGTGTCTTCCTAATAAACCAATCACTTCAACAATTTGTCGAATGACTATAGGATCCGCTTGAGGTTGCGCATTTCGCGACTTTTGGATTTTAGGGAGAATTTGGAATGCACAACAACTAATACTAGTGGGAACATCAAAGAATTTTCAATTTTCTTGCCCAGTGAAGCATGGTGAGATGCAAAATAGAATATGGCAAAAATACAACCTAACTGAAAACTGGCTTGAATCATTTTTTTAACCAAACAATTTGCATGTACATGCGATGCTTATGATCGATCATTTGTCTGTAAAAAATATTACATATCCGTAATTTGTAATGCAATTCCTTCGGAAAGATTTTTCGTAGTGAACAGATTTTACGGTAAGAAAGTGAACTTCAGTGTACATTTTCTCCTTTGAGCGTTGGCAGTATTTATCAGATATCTGTTGCAAGGCAAGGATTTATTCTTTCCTGAAATATGAGAAATGGAATCTTCAAGAGTCTCAACATGTAACATTCGGAGCCTTTTTATAGCTCATTCTTACAGTTAGTGTGAAATTACAACTCCAAAATAATTATGATTGCCAACGGTATACCTTTCAGCTACCGTATTTACCTTTCAACTTTTTCTTTAACTCCCATGCTTAATATTAATAGCAAATAATTTATTTGTAGGGAGAGAGTCGAGTTTGACATTACGATAGAAATGTAAAATATAGAAGATTCTGAGGAGTTTAGTCTTTAATGATTTTTGAAACTTTTAGATAAATATATGTCTGATACTCACAACTGCCTAATAAAGTAGCTTTCTTGCTAAATAGCTTTGAATAACGAACAAAACAGTGTGCAATCAGAAAATAATTTCATGTGAATTAGAATATAATCTCAGGTTTCAAATATTTATTTGTGGCAAGAACTTTTAAGTAAATTTAAGATGCCAACTAATATTTTAGCAAAAAAAAATTAGGAAAATAGAATAAGAAGCGGGAAATCTTGAAAGACTGAAATGGGATGAATCGAAGATGGAAGAAAAGAAGGGATGTGTAAATAAGTAGTAATTACGGGTTACGATTGGCCGTAATGGTGGTGAAACAGTAGAAAATGCGCAGGAAATAAGTCTACTGAAAAGATGGAAGGAATGTTACAATGGCACATCTCACGAATATTTGGAAGATATAAACACAGAAACTTGTGAAATAACATTATCTAAGTCTGCACTTTCCTTCTCAGTAAATGTAAAATATACTTCACCAGTTGTGTATTGTTATGCAGTTAACTGTAAAAGTTTCCTTTCTTACTGTTCCTTAGAAGTATTTTTAATAAATATTTCTAATCCTCTTACTGTTACTGTCATTGCACAAACATTCCTGAGTTGTTGTTTGTTAAGAAGCTCCTGCTCAATCGTTTTTTTCGTGGATATTCTGGGTATGATTGTTATTGTAGGATAGTAATGAAAGATATGGACTTGGAAATGTCGACAACCTAAGCATAGCAATGAGTGAGGAAAGTGCTGATACAATTATTTTTAATAATGTTGCGATGTTCACAAGCAATTCTGGTATTCATCAGGCTTATATCCATACAGCGACTGTCTCATTAGATCATGCCGAGGAAGAGTTCAACCAGGTTATGCTTTAACGCTGAATATTTCTGGCTTTTGACGAGTTTCGAAAACTTTTATGCTCCATTTCATGTGGTCA